CCCTCGACGCCCCCGACGGCGGCGGCGGCGCCGCCACCAAGGACGATGCAGGAGACTCGGTGCCGTCCTCATATGATGCCGTGCTCGCGATCGACGGCGTCACGAGCGCCATAGACGTGTACGAGGTGTTCATGTTGAATTGAGAGTGATGAAGGTGATGAAGATGTTGAGGAAGTGAACTGAATCGACGTGACGTGATGGGCGCGTGGGAATAGGCACGCCACCAGGGGATTGGCGTGCGCCAGAGGCTGGTGCCTATACATTTTCTATAGGCGTGTACAGGTGGGCTCTAGTAAAAACACGAGTGGTCGGAAGTACTTGTTATCTCCCAAGACCGCGTTCGAATCAGTGCGGAGGGTTCAAGGTGCGATGAGCGAAGGCGTCACTGGAACCAAGGAGGGACCTTTACAGACCACTCACGGGTCTCAGTTATGCATCGACCTACCTAGTAGATCAGCGATTATGATTATACTAACCAGATTAGCCGCGCCGGTCGAGACGCCTGTTGATCCCTCCAAGGAGTACTTTGACTATCAGATCCGAGGTGAGCTCTTCGCCTCGGTACGGGACCGTGTCGACCATGTCTCTCACGCCGTGCGCGGCAGCTAGCCCGTCGTCGAGCTCCTGCAGTGCCTCGCGCGCCTAGCGTTAGCTGGAATTCTCTAATACTCATGCCATGATCTCGCACTCACATCCGCGTCGTCGCCGATCTGGAGCAGCTGCACGCCCACCTGCGACAGCGGGAAGTCGCCCCTGTCCAGCCGCTTAGCAATAGAAACGAGCACACTCTCGGGGTCATCGGTCGGCGCTGAATCCATCAGCAAAGTGCGATCAAGCGAGGGGTCGGCAGCAAGAGAGCGGAGACGGCCAACGAGCGGGCGGGCAAACGCTGGCGTCAGCTCCGCCTCCCCTCCCCCGGAAAGACATACCTCCGTCCGTCACGACAATCAGGTTCATGGAGGGCACTTCCTCGTCACCCGTCGCCACGCTGCGCTCGAGACGCGACATGTACTCGCGGAGAATCGCCTCAATCCTCAACCCAGTAGGCGTTGCACCACGAGGCTGCAGGCCCGCGAAGAGATCCTCAACGTCGGCGGGGACGCGCAAGTCCTTGCCGACTCGCTTCGAGTTCATGAAGAAGCAGTCGATGCCGTTGCGGCTGTACCGCACCGCTTGTTGGACCACACCCATAACTGCCTTCTGCGCCTGTTCCCACCTGGGGCCCGCCATCGACGAGCTGTCGTCGATGAGGAACACGGTGTCGTACTCAGCGAGCATCTCAAGCGCGTTCTCTCCTCCTGCGTCGAGGAATGCAGGAGAGGGTGCTCGAGCCGTTGTTGGGACAGTCACGGAGATCTCTGGTGATTGATCTGGCGTGTTACCCCACTCGGACGACGAATCTGAGTCCGCGTCTAACTCCTCCGCCTCCATCGGGATCCCACCGCTGACTTGTCTCATGTGATTGACTGCAGCTGGCCCTGGCATAGCTTTGGGAGGGCCAGTAGGCCGCGGTAGAGGGCGTGATGCGCGCTCCTCGGCCGCAGGATTCCACCCTGCGTCAACCGTCCCATTGCGGGACGGAGCGGTCAAGGTCAGCGCCGGAGGGCTCGGGGCACCGTGCCACCCGGGCGGCGGTCCAGACGGAGACGGATGTTGTTGCCAAGTTGGAGGTGGACCAGATGGCGACGAGTACTGCGGGTGCGGCGCTCCGGTATGATACTGCATGTGCTGAGTTCCGTAATGCTCCTCTCCTAGAGGAGGCGGAAGAGCGCGGTCAGGCGCGCGAGGAGACGATGAAAGCACCACTGCACCTGCCTCGTGGCCAGGGGTCGACCATCCCCCAGGTCGTGCAGGCAGCGCGGGCGGTGTTGACACGTCGTGCGGGTCATGCAGGGCAGGAGAGTGTTGAGAATGTTGCACGGGCCCAGCGTGCGCGTCCATCTCCTCCTGTTGCTGGCGCTCACGCTCCTCTGCCGTCAAGAATGGGTTGTTACTCTGGAATCTCTTGGAAAGGTCATCGCTCGCTCTCTGCTTGCCCTTGCCGGGCGGCGACGCTGGGGTAGGCTGCAGCGTGGGCGCGTTGAGGTCGATCCCGCCAAACATCTCATCGAGCGCATTGTCCTGAGGAAGAGGAGGATGGGCTTTGTTGATATTGGAGTGGAAAGCGCCAGGCATCTGTTCGGCGGGACCAGGCGAGGGGACTGGGGATGGGCCAAGCGGAGACGGAGTGTACACGCCCGTTCTGACACTGGATGGCCCAGGACCGGCGCCGGGGGAGTCAGTCTCGTTTTGCAGACTGCGCCGAAACGTGTCTTCCTCCACGCTGGCGAGGGACGCCTGGATGGCCGCCTCGTACTCAAGCCGCTCCTTCTCGGCGATGCGTGAGCGGCGCATCGCCTCTTCCAACTCGCTGGCTTCACGCGCGCGTCTCTCGTCCTCCGTCACCTCCTCCTGGTTGTTGGTGGCAGGAGTGCTGGCCGGTGCGGAGGAAGGGGCTGCGCTGTTCGTACTCGTGCGCGTGTCAACGCGCTGGACGGGAGACGAAATCGCCTCGTTGGCGCGGATGGAGTCTCCGTCTATGCTTGGTCTCTCAACATCACTGGATCCTCTGCCTGCCGCATTGGCTGCCGCAACACTCAGCTGCTCCTGCAGAATGCGGGTTGAGGCGGGGTCGGGATCCTCGGCGGCGTAGGGCGGGGGCGGAGGCTCATCACTCTCACCATCCGCAGGACGTACGATTGGAGGGCGCTCAACAGCGGGACGGGCCGGGCGGCTTGACGCCGCGGTCATGGTGCTTGTGCGGTTCGGAAGCGAGGTGGTGGAAGATGATAGGCGAGCGGAGGAAGGGCGCGAGGTCGACGCGGACGTACTCGCCCGCGCGACCAGGCGAAACACGTCGGATCCCCGGAGACCGTAGTTATGGCGCACGTCCACGAACGCCCTGGCATAGTGCGGCGGCACCTGGCGTTAGCCTGTCTCGGGCTCCTATCTCCACCCCAGCCGGAATCATTCGGCGTACTTGGACTTCAAGAGCCTCCAGCTTGTAGTGGATGTCGAGCTTGGTCTTGCCGCGTATCTGCTTGTGGGCCACGTACGAGTTGACGATGGCATACGCGTAGCTGCTGTCAGTTGGTGCTCGAGAGGTGACTGACTCCCTGTCGGACCACGCGCGCTGCGTGCCGAGCGCGTAGAGCACGTCGCTCGCCGTCAGCATTGACGGGACTTGAGGCTGTTGTCAGAGGAGGACCGGCGACGCGACACGACGCACCAGGTTGGGCCGAGCCCGGCTCTGCATCCCAGGATACATGGCCGGTGGATGAAAGGAGATGGTAGGGAAAAGGAAGTAGACGCGTCGACGGCGGTGGCGACGGCGACGGCGTCAGCGCGAGGGAGGGTGGAGATGGCCGGTTGAGGAGTGAAAGGGAGTGAGGATAGAGAAGGAGTGAGGAATGACGACAACAGAGAATGCGGCGGCGGCGGCGGCCACAAAATGACGCATCACCCCTGGAGCACGCGCCTCCCGGTATATCTCCTCCGACACCGCTTTCCATCACATCTCAGCCTCAGTGTCCATGAATAGCTACAATCACTCTATCATGCTATCAATGCATGGCCCCCATTTGATGCGCCTCTGCATCCGCGCCTTTGGTACTTGCCGAAGGCGTGGAATCGTAGCCGTGCTTCGTACAGCTCACCAAGCCGACATTGCGCAGGTCATCCATGTCCAGCAGTGTAAAGGCCAGCAGGACCACCACCTCCGGCATGAAGAGCAGGATGTTGAGCGCGTTCTGGGTCAGGAACCATCCAGACGTCACGCTTGCCGCAACGACGCGGAATAGGCTTTCCAACATGAGTGCCGTCCCGCAGATCGAGATGACAGCGGTAGGGATCGCTCTCTTCACCGCAATCGGGTTATACATGAGCAACAGGCCCAAAGGGGAGAGCATGAGATGAGCCGATACGACCATGAAAAGCGCACCGCTCGCCTGTCGGAGGGCTTTGGCCACATCAAACTGCCGAAGATTCAGAGAATCAAGTGCGGTGATCTGTAGGACTGCGCCGACAATGCCAAGGATAGAGATGCCCAAAACGACACTGTGCCGAATGGGAATCATGATGTGGCGCAAACGGGGGTTGTCGACCTCCCGTAAGATGCAGAACCTGTGCGGTCAGCGCAGCGTACCTAACAGGAAAGGTTGACACGCACCACTCAAAGAGGAGGCTTAAGACGGCCTCGACGAGGAACAGAAAGCCGGCCACAACAAAAACGCCTGCGATGATGAGCAAGATCTTGTAAGAGTCATCGCTCGGAGAGGCGTCGGCGAGGAGCCACCGCACAATGAACGTCGCGACGCGCGCTGCGTAACATTAGCACTGAGTGAGTGTCAAAAGAGGCTGCACGTACAGCCGGTGAATAGGACGACGAAGATGTATATGAGCCAGAACTTTGGCCGGCCAGCGAGGCGGAGACATAGGAGGACGAGGAAGAGGGCGTAGACGAAGGTGAAAGCGACGCTTTCCTTCTTTTGGACGCCGCGGCCGAGGAGGAAAAACGGATTGACGACCGCGCCAGCGCCAGTCGAGTTCATGTTGGTATGAGAGGTTAGGAAGACAGATAGAACGAGCGTGAAGTGAGTGAGTGAGAGGAGACAGCTTTCAATTCTTGATGTCAGCACCTTGGGCTAAACTGGGCGCGTGGACATGCGTTGTGCGTGCCCGAGGTATGCCGGGTGATGTCTGTGCGCGGCGCGCCACGGCGGCCGAAGATCAGCATGGGCTTGATTGCCTTACAGCCGGGTACGCCGCGTACCGCCGTCTCAGCAGGCAGCCTTGACGAAACGTGGTGCATATGTACAACATTAGAACTCCATGCTCTCCTCTTTGGCTGTGGCACGTCAGATATGTCAAATGAGGCCCACTCACCCTCCCGCCCTCGCCTGACGTCAGCCGTAATGGCTCGCGCATGCCGGTCCAGCATCTCGACATATGGCTTGAGCGATGTTCGGTCGTAGTCTGGTGTAAGGCGCATCCCTCCTACCGAGACTCACCCTCGGCCATCTTGCCGTTACTGTCGCTTGGCGGCGCACGGTCGAGCTCGACCAGTAACTCTCCGACCGTCGGCACCGCATCCGGATCAAAGTGCTGGGCATGGTTGGGATCGATAGGAACACACACCCTCCCTGTACCCGGGTGCACACAGAATGGTGCCTTGAGCAAGTGATTGCGGTGCTTGGACACCTCGGCATCGATTCGGGGGTACGTGTACTGGAGGATGAGGTCCTCAAGTGCTGCCTCCCACTTGCGTGCCAGCGGATTCTTGGTTCGCTTGTAAGCATGCACAACCTCCATCACATCCCTCCACTTCTCCTCGGAAGAGCGGTCTGGTTCAGCCTCCCACAGCGAGCGCAGTTTCTCTGTCTTTTCTTCTGTCAGCTCTCACTCTTAGGGCAACAGAGCTTACCCCGGTCTGCTGGCACGAGCGCAAGGAGAGCTTCCCAGCCGCGCTGTGTCTTGAACACGTCCTGATCGAGCAGACAAATTCGCTGGAACTCGTACTTGAGTGTATCCAGCGCCTCTTCCAGGTATGGGTGGAGAGGCGCATCATCTCGGCCGCCACGCACATTGACTTTCTTGGCCTGCTCCTTGCTTCCCTTGATCACTTCGAGGAAGGTCACAAGTGCGCGCCGCTGGTCGTCGGTGAGATCAACAGCAAGCGTGTCTGATATCCAGCAATGAATGCCACGGCGCCCAGAGTACACCCACAGCAGGTGCTTGAATCCGAACGTTTCTGTCGTCAGGTCACATGGGACTTGGTTGACTCACCCCGGAGTGCCTTGTCGAGTACCTTGACGGCGGCGGCGATGAAACCCCAGCAGCGCTTGCAGATCTTCTTATCGGTGCAGCACGTGCGGATCTCGTCGTAATCCGTCATGTCGATGTCGAAGACGAGCTCACGGCGCTGAGGCTGAAGCGCGCCGGTGGGAAGGGTCTTTCGATCACGCGGCTGATATCAGCTCACTGCATCGGATCATGGCGCTCACGCGATGCGAGTACTGCGGACCGATCTCGAATCGCGATGGCACTAGGCGCAGGATCTCCTTCTGGAAGTCGTATGCTGTGTTGAAAGAGTTGTAGCGAATGTACACGTCGTTCTCGATTGTGAATGCGAACTCGCGGTGTGTCCAGAGCTTTCCGGGGACTGGGTAAGGCGGGGTGCGATGTTCATAGCTCACCATCAGACTGATTGAGCCATTTGAAGAAGGGCTTGTACGGAAATAGGCGCTTGTAGAACGTCGTCATGACAGGCCGTGAGGATGGGCTGAGGTTAGGAGGAAAGGGGCAAGGATTTGAGGTTTCACTGACTCATAGGCCATTCTGGGGTGAGCTCAGTTCAGATAGAGATGAACTCACGCTTCTTCTTGGATTGTGGTGACCATTGTTGATGAGTTTAGATGCTTGAGACAAGTAGTGGGTGGTGATTGTTGATCTTTCGCGACGCGTCGTGGTTGACGCGCCTTCATTACTTCCGTTTCTTATCCGGTACACCGTGTGACACGTGCTGGCCACGCGAGCCAGCCCCAGCCAATTCTCCAGTGTTTAGCTAGCTACATTTGACAACGCCGACAACATTTCGCTTGCGCGATGCGCCTAGAGAGCATGAGAAGCCCTTACCTATGGGCCTATGCTTGGAATCGCAGAAGGTGTCGGCGAGCTCGTCTGAGCATTTGCATGCGAGGCTCACCAAATGCCAGCGCTACAGTCGCCTGGGCGATCACACTCCCAGCATGGCACGGAAAAGATCACATGTAACGATCGACGAACGCTGGAACCCTCTTCGATCCGAAAGCCGCCCAAGCTATCTCATAGCTGGTGCGGCGGTGCGGAATCATGGTGCTGAGTGTCTTTGTCGTTGCGGAGGACGTGATGGTCCGCTCGGCCGTAAGGGGTCGGTGTTCGGACTTGCCCGCATTGCGGCCCTTCTCCCACATCTCACACGCCCACGCCCACCCGGCAATCGCCCCAGGCCGGATTTCGGCAAGCCGATTGCCGGCCCTGACTGACATCCCCCAGCGCAGAAACGACCAGATTACTTAACTACCTCGCCGCCGCCTGCAGCTCTGTAACTCTCCCCATCAACCCTCTAATCATGTCCGGAAAAGCCTCTCTGCTCGCCAAGAACCCCGACGACGTCGTGATCCTCGCGGCCAAGCGCACGCCAATGTGCAAGGCGACCAAGGGTGCGCTCAAGGACGCGCGGTTCGAAGACATGCTCGTGGGTGCGCTCAAGGGCGCGGTCGCGGCCGCGCGCATCGACCCCAAGCTCGTCGAGGACATCCAGATCGGCACGGTGCGCACGCCCCGCGGCGGTGCATCCATCTCGCGCATGGCCGCGCTTGCTGCCGGCTTCCCCATCGAGACCTCCATCTCCACTGTCAACCGCCAGTGCTCAAGCTCGCTGCAGGCCATCTGGACGATCACGAACGAGATCCGCGCCGGCGACATTGACATCGGTATTGCCGGCGGATGCGAGAGCATGACCCACCACTACGCCCGCACTCCCCTTGACCACCCGACGTCGGAGGAGGTCCGCAAGACCAAGCTCGCCGCCGACTGCCTCATCCCCATGGGCTTGACAAACGAGAACGTCGTTTCCGACTACGGCCTCACGCGCGAGGAGCAGGACGAGTTCGCTGCCCGCTCGTACCAGAAGGCTGAGGCTGCGCAGAAGAGCGGCCGCTTCGACGGCGAGATCGTCCCCGTCACCGTCAACGGCAAGACCGTCACCCGTGACGACTGCCCCCGGTATGGCGTCACCGCCGAGTCGCTCAAGAGCATCAAGCCCGCCTTCAAGGCGGACGGGACGACGCACGCCGGCAACTCGTCGCAGCTGACGGATGGCGCCGCTGCCGTGGTCCTCGCGCGCCGCAGCGTGGCGGAGAAGCTCGGCCTGCCCATCATCGGCAAGGTCGGCGCTGTTGTCACCGCCGGCGTGCCCCCGCGCGTGATGGGCATCGGACCCGCTGTCGCAATCCCCAAGGTGCTCAAGAAGGTCGGTGTCGAGCTCTCCGACGTCGACATCTTCGAGATCAACGAGGCGTTCGCCGGCCAGGCGCTCTACTGCGCCAAGGACCTGGGGTTGGACCAGAAGAAGCTCAACCCCAACGGCGGCGCCATCGCTCTTGGCCACCCTCTTGGCGCGACCGGCGCGCGCCAGGTTGCCACCGGCATGAACGAGGCCAAGCGCACAGGCGCAAAGATCCTCGTCACCTCCATGTGCGCGGGCACGGGCTTTGGTGTCGCGGGCGTGTTTGTCAACGAGCAAGGGGACGCCAAGCTCTAGTCATGGCATTGTAGACTTCATGTATCCAGGTATCAGCAGTGCGTGATTGAGGCTAAGGCTGCATCTATTCGTGTACAGAGGAAAGGAGTGGCATTGGTATTGAGACGGGACAGGTTAGGTTGGTGTCCGGCAGGTATAAAGCGACATGCGAATCGTTACAGGCGGGCAGGGATCGGTGGACAGTGATGTGTGGGCTGGGATAGATACACTGAGATGCAATTGTTTGCGGGTGCTAGTCGGGGCTAGGCTGAGGTGCTCCAACTAGGCTCGCTCGCCGGGAGGAGGGGTGGATCCATGGAATACTCAACGGGCGATGGTGGCGGGGCGCTGAAAAGTAGTGGGGACGCCGGCGACAGAGGCGAGGGAGACGCAAGGATGGTCGGGTCGGGCGAGGCCGAGGCCGAGTCCACAAGCGATGCGGTGGAGAGCGGCCTCGTGATCGCCGAGGAGGACAGGCGGCTGGGCCCGGGGGAGACCGGCGATGAAGATGAGCCGGAGAGCTTGGGGGCCACATTTCTGGCCATGATGACCCTCTTCAGGCGTTGAGTTCTCGTCTTGCTGCGGTGGAAAATCGTTGCCTTTCTGTTCAGCTTTGCCTCTTTGCCCGGCTGCTCGTCCGATGTGGAGTTGTTCGCCACGGTGAGGGCGGAGTTCTTCCCAGTCTTAAAAAGGCTGCGTTCCTCGGCGACTTCCGATGTTGACTGCGGCGCTGGTTCATAGTCGTGTTCAGAGGCGCCAGGGTGAGTGGTGGCCTGGAGGAGTGCGTCGAGTACAGCGTCGAAATCCTCTACCTCGCTCTCGTCGGTGTCGTCGGAGCTGGACATGGGAGGAGGAGCAAAGGGCACTAGGTTGGCATTGGCGGCGAGTTCGAGGTAGCGAGGTGACGCTGCGAAGAAGTCCTCGACTGGATAGAACCTGGGAGTAGGAGCGTCGCCGTCATCGTTGTGATTGTGATACCAGTTGAGGGAATCATGGTCGGGGTCAGCCCAAAAGATGTCCGAGAAACCATGGGGATGCTTGTATGCCTCAGCACCGGGAAAGGCCACCATGATGGAGGTGACGATGGCGTTCTTGCGCGTGTTCAGGCGCGTTTCCTTGCAACCACGGTAATGCGCGTTCTTGAGCAATCCCGCCCTCTTGAAATCGCGCAGCCTGCGCACTTCGTCTCTACGGTCCGAGGCCTCCTTGCGACGATGGGCGAACTTGGGATCTTTGCAGACATCGATGTGGCTTGGAGGCCAAGCGTGATAGTTGAGAGGATGGAGGTCAATGCGTCCGTTATCGCCAACGTGCTCCTTAGAAGCATCATCTGAGGAGGCCCACTCAGGAAGACGCTCAATGACGCGAAAGAGCACGAAGGGGGAGAAGGAGACGCTCTCCTTCTTCTTCTTCTTCTTGGGGATTAAGAGATCGTCGAGACTTGCCGCGTGTCGATTATTACTCCAGGGTCCCTTGGGCTTGGCAATGATGGAGCGCGGTAAAGCAGACTGAAGAGGAGGAGTAGGAGGAGGAGTAGAAGATGATGAAGATGGAGGAGGAGTAGGAGGCATGGCAAGTGCGTGGGCTGTAGCAGGCGGGGCAAGTGGAGTGGGCACGGTCTCGATGTGAGGATCATCCAGGGGCGGGGACGGAAGGGGCTGTGCGCCCTTCTTGAGGACGCCAGTAATGTTGATCATGATGATCAGCAGCTTTGTGGGGAGTCGGAAATGTTCTGGAAGGTTGAATGGATGATCGGTGGAGTGCGAAGGAGAAGTGATGGGCAGGAGATAATATATGGGGATGAGAGAGAGAGATGTCTTGAGAGCGTGTGCTCGCGGGAGAGTGGGAAAGTGGCGCGCGTTGTGTGGAGACGATGAAAGCAATTCTGACGCGCCTGACGGCATGACGGCAGCAAATGCTGCGGTGCTGATGAGGTGGAAGGCTGGACGCTGGCCCATTCGAAATGTTGTGGTCAATTTTCAGATTGAGTGTTGAATTGTCCTAGTGGTTTTTCTGGCCCTGCCCCTTCAAGATTGAGTGGATCCTCACCCAACAATCAAGCATCGAGGCTAAAGCATTCTCTCGACCCACCCTCGGCCCAGCTCTCCTGTGGTTACCCACTCGACCCGCTTTCAGCTCTTTCGGAAGAGGAGGTGGAAAGGACGAGGCCTCCCCTTTCCCAGCGACAACCCCGACGTGGATATACGGAAGGCACGGCGGCACGGATGGTACCAGTCTCTCTCGCGTGCCATGTATTCGGATGCACTGTCAGCAGCGGAAGTTGGATGTGTAGAAAGTGAGTACCATGCGGTACATGACATCACGTGCATGATCCAAAATCACAACCTGATCAAAGTTGGACCTGGTAAACAATACGTTAGAACTCAAACCATTCACGCATTCAACTTCCCTGAGAGGTAGCGTCCAACAGCGTTGCCAGGTATGGTCATCATGCTCACAGACTGAAGAGTGGGACAGTGTCCTATGGGCGGGAAGTGTGAACACCATGGTAGCCGGTTGTGTGGGAGTGCGTCTTTGTATCTGTGGTGTCATGGCGTCATGATTCTCGATGAAGGCATCAGTCGCAGATGATCTTGGAAAGCTCAATGTCTTTTCCTTCTCGCTTCACTGGAATTGCTGAGCCAGAAGTATGCTCATGGCATGGGAAGACCTGGACCACGAGTTCGAGGCCTGGGTATTGGGAAGCAGCATCGGCAGATGAGTTACTGGGACTATCGGGTAATGTCGGGGATACAGAGACAATAGGGTCGTTGATGGCGCTGATGTTTCCAACATTGTCAGGCACTGCTGCAGGTGTTGCAGGTGCTTCAGTGAACGACAGGAGAGGGATGAGGAAAATCGAACAAGCGGATGCGATCGGGGGCGCCAAAGATGGATTCATGTGCATCGACGGGGATGTATCAGTGCCTGCGTCGTGGGAAACATTGCCGCCACAAGTGACATGGCCAGACAGATGCTATTGGGAATTTTGAAGAACGTGAAAACAAGACCTGATGGGGAGGTTGGACAGAGAAGGTCGGAGCTGAACAGACTGCTCGTAAATCTCCCGCTCTCATCTGCATCCGCAAGTTTTCTCCATCAGCCCGCTAGCCTGTCATGATCTAGGTCATATAGGACAGCTAGATACGGCACAGCTGGTGTTGGTAGAAGCTGAAAGGAAGCATTCATGAAGTCAACCACTGGAGAGAACACATTTGGTTTCGTTGAGCGTTGTGGAGCGAAGCGAGGTCGGCGCCAAGTGTCGGTCGAGTCTACACCTGGGGGGACCCTGATCAGGCTGGATTGACGTGACGACGTGAGAAACAGTTGTCGCGATGATGACGAGTGCGATTCAAGCTGAAGTTAGGCCTGCTAAGGGATGAACTTGCACCGCAGTTGAGAGAGATGAAAAAGGCGAGATGGAATGTGGATGGATCGATCCATGAAAGTGGCACCCAGTCGCGTCGAGTCAGGGATCATCCCTGATCAGACGATCAGCGCGACCTTGACGGGGGCCCTGAACGCGTGGCTGGATTGACGGACATGTCTTCATCTCCGTGCATCCCTCAACCCTCGTTCACGTCATCACACTTCTCCTCGACATCCTCCTCATGTCCACCGACAAGCTCAAGGCGCTCCTTCAGTCCAAGTCGCCAGCGAGCGCAGACGACGTGCGACTGCTGGCCACATCCATCTCCTCGTCCTTTCAAAATGAAGCTGGTCTCGCTCTCCTCGCCTTATCCAAGGTAGTGGACGCCTCCAACGCGCGCGGAGGAGACGACGCCGCCCAAGCTCAACGCATCAAAGACACCTTCGACCCGCTCGTCTCCGATGCCGTTGCGCAGGGCACTGATGACCCAGAAGTCTTCGTTTCTGCCGTCTCCCTCCTCGCTGCTCTCGCCCCGCTCGCGCCCGCAGGCACGGTCGCCCTGCTCACCCAGCCGTTGGGCATCAACAGCCGCGAGGAAGCCTCCGACATCGACCCCCTTGGCGTACTCCTCGAACTTGCCGAGCTACCTTCACGCCTCCAGCCGGCCCTCGCCGCCCTCCTTTCCGCGCTCGCAGGCACCAAGGCTGGGCGGGGGCTTGTGCGTGACCGCGCTTTCGACTACCTGAGCGCTGCGGCCGACACCCTTGGCGGGGACACTGGCGTGCTGTGTGCTGTGGCACTCAGCAAGCTTGGTAGACCGGATCCGCAAGTTGGCGAGCCTGAGGAACAGCGCCTTGCGCGCGACGAGCAAGCCCTCGAGGGTGAAGTACAGCTCGCGCGCACCCTTATGAGTCACATCAAGAGCAGCGCGTCCGCGCAGGCCATCCTCCCCACCCTCGAGGGCCTCAGCGTGCTCTCCACTCGACCCGCCATCCGAGATGTACTTTGCTCCGACGCCGCCTTCCTCAAAGCCTTCCTCGCCCTCTCACCCGTGCCACAGGCCAAGGGCGGCTCGCTCCCCGTCACGCCCCGCTCGTCTATGGGCTCGTTGGAAGAAGCCCTCGCACCTGTCGACGCAGCTTTATGCTTTGGCATTGCGACGGTACTTGCACACCTTGTTGCGCGCAAACCTGTGCTCTCCGAGCACGACCAGCAAATGGAGCGGCTCCGCCGTATGGCCATCAGCGGCAAGACCGCCGTCGAGGCCGAGGACGAAGATCCAGCAGAGCGCGACGACGCTGTCGAGAAGCGCGTGGTGTTTCTGCTGACAGCGGGCGTCATCCCCGCCCTCTCTGGCCTGGTGCGCGCTGAATCGCCGCGCGTGCGGGACGCTTTGGCCAGGATATGTCTGGGCCTGGTGGAGGATCGCGCACACCGTGCGCCATTCATCCGCGATGGTGGCTTCAAGGTCCTCACAACCGTCCTCCGATCCAATACCGGCTTGGCAGCTCCTCAGGCTTTGGCCAAGCTGGTGATTACGACGCCACCTCAGCTCCTCTTTCCCCCGCCACTCGAGACGAACGCACTCAATGCCTTTGCCCCACTCTACCTGTTGCTCGTTTCTCGGGACGCATCTCTACTCCAGCAGTTCGAGTCGCTAATGGCGCTTACGAACCTCGCGTCTATAAATGGACAGTTCGGCGCGCGTATCGTTGACGCCAAGGTCGCAACGCCAGACGAGTTCAAGGGCCGGGGGCGCGGTGACACAAAGGTCATCGACAAGGTCGAAGAGCTGATGCTCGACGACAACAACCTTGTGCGCCGGGCCGCTACCGAACTCGTGTGCAACCTCGTCAACTCGGAGGCGGGATATGCGCACTTCTCGGGCGAAGCAGTCGACGCGGCGGAAGGGGACAAAGACGCCGGCAAGCCAGAAGCGAAGCGGACAGTGCGCTCGACAGCACGCCTCGGTGTGCTACTCCTGTTGACGGACGTGGACGACCTACCCACACGCCTTGCAGCGAGTGGCGCACTCGCCGTCCTCACCGAGTCAGCCACCGCATGCGCAGCACTTTGTGCGGGCGGCGCCATCTCCGGCTCTCAGCGCAGCGTATGGGACCGCCTCGGCGATCTCTTTGAGCCTGGCGGCGAGCGCCCCGAGGTCGAGGAGGGCAGCGAGGGCGTGCGCGCCGTGCAGACCATCTCGTCGTCGCCGCCGGACGTCGGCCTCGCGCACCGCGGTGCAGTCATCGTCGCCAACCTGCTTGAGTTTGTGCGTCAGTTGCCCGCAGCACAAGCGAAGGCTGCAAGGACTGCTATCGCGGACAGCCGGCTCGAGGATCGATTGACGGAGGCGGCGCGGGCGCTCGCCAAGGACAGGCAGGGTGAGGGCGTCCAGGTTGCCATGATGCTTGCGCAGACTAAGAAGCTGTTTGTAGCTTGATGCAGTATGTGCTGGGGTGCGCAGTGCGACCAGCCGCCGCCAACTGTGAGGCTCAAGTTTCATCCCTACTACCTCAACTGTACATTTGCGCCATCTGAATCGTACTTGCACTCCAATTACTACCATGCCTGCATGACCTACACACGCACACCCACAAGACGCATAACCTCCGGCGTCTCCTTGACGTCACGGAACGGGCGCTTGCGGTTTGCGGGATCGGGCGTGCCGTCCGGGCGCGTCGGCACGCCGCCGACCTTGCGACGCGCCGGCACGACATTCATGAATGGCCAGTGCGTCGTGCCCTCGCGGTTGCGGAAGATTTCGAGCTTTGTGCGCAGCTCGTCCTCGCTCATATGGCTGCGGGGGCAGTAGCACACGTAGCTAACGAAGCGGGTCTGGGTGCCCGTGGGGCTCGCGTTCCAGTGCACGGTACGCGAGTCCCACAAAATAAGGTCGCCTTCGCCCGCACACACCTTGACGACCTCGGCGCCGTGGGCGGTGTACCACTCAAAGTCGTGCGGCGGGTAGCGGTAGCTGTTCTCGGTGGGCCCGAGGTCGGCTGCGGGGCGGAAGCCGCCGATGGCGGCAAAGTGCGCTTCGTGCAGCTTGTGCGAGCCGCGGAGGACGCAGAGGCCGCCGTCGTCCGGCCCGTTCGGCGCGAGATTCGCTATGCCCTGATACAGCTCGAAGCGGTCGATGCGGCGCGGGTTCTGGTCGATGTGCGGCCACGCCGGCGTCGGCGCGATATCTGTGCGGCCCGTGTCGGCGTTGATCGGCATCGTCGTGTTCATGCCGTCGAACGAGGCGATCAGGTCGTCCGTGCCCCAGATGGCGGCGAACGTGTCCAGGATGCCGGGCTGCGTGCGGATGCGCCACACAAAGTCCTCGTGGTTGACCGAGTAGCGGTTGTACAGGCCTCCACTGGGTGTGAGCGAGCCTCAGCGGTGCGCGCAACACTCGACACATGCAACTCACGTAGGACCATACGGCAAATGCTCCTCCGTCCACGTACTCCTGTCGTCGCGCACAAAACCGTGCGGGAAGCTCTCGAGCCATTGGAGCGCGCTCTCGCGGAAAGCGGCACACTCTTCTTTCGGAATGACACCAGGGACGACGACGAAGCCGTCGCGCTCGAGGTCGACGAGGAACTGGGGCTTGTTCGTGGCGATCATGGTGCACTGGGGTTTCGGCTGGGGATGTTGAGCCGGCCCAGCGACGCACGCTGTCTTATATCTCAGCGTGCTGCATTGTCATGGGAGACGACGAAATATGCCGGTCCGTGTTGACGACCGGGGTATTGTAGACTGGAGACAATACACCGCCGCAAGCTGCCGCAAAACACCGTTCCTCATTCTGCAGTTTCCGAGGTTCTTCCGTTGTGGGTCCCAGTCGCTATCTCACGGCTCTGAGCGGCATCCAGTTGGCCCATTCTCCAGCCGGAAGTTGGTGTTTGCCCATCTCGCTCGCCGTCATTTAGCAGCTGGCTCCCGACGTTGGCATCCGCGCTGGACGCGCTGATTACAACCATGCATGCCATGCTGATAAAAATCCGATCAATCTACCTGGTGCTGCCCACCCGTCCCACCCACGCAAGGAACGAGTAGACGTGCTTCTTGCTGATGACATGCTCCCCGAGCCGGTCCGCAGCCTCACCCGCGCTCTCGTGCACGTCGACGTAGCTCAGCGCACGGCCCAACTCAACCGCAAGATTAGATGGCGGCGCATCGGCAATCTGGCGCAGTGCCGCATTCGCCGCCTTGGTCGGCGCATTCTCGCTGAATCTTGCCGAGAGCAGGCGGTTCATGCTCTCCTCCAGGTCTTCAAGTTGCTCCTCGTCGCCGTGAATCTCAATGCCCGCCATGAACGAGAGCATGAGCAGCGCGACGCTCTCGATTGGCGACTCGGCAAGCCCAACTTCATCTCGCCACTCACAGATCCACGCCAGAGACCCAAGAATGTGCGCAGCCTCCGGTTTCTTGATCTTCTTCGTAAGCATACGCGTGATGAGGATCTGGAACATGCGGTCGAGGATCGTCCGGCCGGTGACGTCGCGCACAACATCTGAGAACTCGGACATTTCGCCCCACAGCGTGTCGAGGAGTGGTCTACCCGGCGACATCTTCCGTGCAGAGTCGGGGGCTATCGCGGCCTTGATGACGTTCTCAGCTATGCCATACACCTTCTGGAGAATAAAGTCCAGCGCACTCTCCTGCAGGCGGTCGAGCTGCTTGACCATCTGGTGGTTTGGTGATAGCTGGAGGCGGAAGGTGTGCGCCATGGCGGCAGTGCACCACAGCTGGGGGATCTCGCTCTGGCGACGGACGCTAGATTGCGCCGCAGTAAGAAACTGGGCCGACATGATCTCTGGGATGTAGCGGCGCTTCGCCGCGTCGTACCATCTGATCACGGAGCCAAGCACGAGACCGACCCGCTTGGCCGAGTCAAAGTCGTTCGCTGCGTGCAACAGGTGGTACACCAGCTGCGCAATCGAACTCGAGTCGGTCAAGGGGTTCCCCTTTATGTCGCGCAAGGCGCTAGCTGGAGGATCTGAATGAAGGTTCGAGGTAGGAATAGATGACGATGTCGTCTCGTCGTAGTCGCCGAGTACGCTGTTGGTCACACTGTACTGGCCTGAGGAGTCAAAGCTATCGCGCGAGATGTCGGCTGTGCGGGCATTGTCAATCACAACACTGTCGACGTCCACGCTCGGATGTTCAAAGTTTTCTAGGAAGAAAGATTCAGAGGACGACAACCTCGCGTGCGACAGGTCCCTCGTGTAGCGCTGTTTGGGAGGGGTAACGGGTACGGTGGTAGGTGCCGTGCTGCACGAGCCGACGGTATCGGGTGTGCGTGTGGATGGGCGACCGCCTTCAATGTCACGTTGCCTGGACTCGACCGCGGGCGAGCCATTGGACTGGGCGGCGACAGCCACCCCAGGGAGGACAACGGCGACGCCATTCGAGGACGTCTGCGAAGCGGACGATACTTGCCGAGTGTGCTGCGCCTCCTTTGCTGCTCGCTCAGCGGCGGCCCTCTCGGCAGCAGCTCGTTCGGCAGCGGCCTTCTCGGCAGCCGCCTTCTCAGCAGCTGCCTTCTCTGCAGCCGCTTTCTCAGCGGCGGCTTTTTCGGCCGCTGCCTTCTCAGCAGCAGCCTTGGCCGCAGCAGCAGCTCGTGCCTCCTCAAGTTTGACCTTGAACTCCTTGCGGGCAAAGTGGCCTCGGGCAAGCGACTGGATGCGCACAGCTGCTCTGCGGGTGGCGAGGAACGACCTCCGCGCAAGGCTCATTCTCGCAATAGTCTGGAACGCCTTGATGGCCGCTAGCTGAGGCTCAAGCGCGTCCTGGATGCGCTGCATCGCCTGTGATCGGAAGAAGACGTGCTTGGTGCCGAGCTGGACGCCCCGACCGTCGGCATCAGCCGCGAGTTCGTTCAGTCGGGCAACAACGGTCGGCAATTCGGCATTGTCAAACCCAGACCCCAACAACAGGGCGTAGAAGGACATCTCCTCGCGTGGAATCTTGAGTGGACCATGTGCGCGTGCAAAACGCGAGATGTGAGCGACACCCGTCGCCTCCATCTGCATCTGGACGCGTTCGTGCTCAAACAGCCTCGGCATCGCCTTTTCGTTCGGCTTGATGCAGTGGACGTAGTGAACATGAGTGCTGGCGAGTAAGGCGTCTAGCCTTTGGATTGACTGGCGGAATGATGTAACGACACTGGTGAACGGATTCTGCCTGGTATTGTTTGATGGAAGTTTGGACTCTACCAGCGTGCGGACGAATGCCTCGCCCTTGTCCAGCGCCTCGAGTAACTTGACGTCGACGCGCTCCGAGTTGGCGGCGAGGAAGCCTCGCGAGTCGTATGAAACTGCGGCGGCATAGTGCGCGACCTTGAACTCGTGCGCCGCCAATGCGCGAAGGTAGCCGTGGTGGTGGCTGCACTCGATTGCGACATTCCGTGCAAAGCCTTCGTCGGTGACGTTCTTCATGCCGAGGCCGAGTCGACGCGTCTCGTCATCGAGCAATGACGAAATGCCGGGCTGTGGAGGCTGACCCAACTTGCCGGGGGTTCCGACCAGCAACGGTAGGCAAGAGGGCAATTGGGGTGGACGGTCAACCTTGATTCCCTCTGCGGCGTACTGGTCTGCCTCGTGCTCGAGCATGTCCTGCGACAAGTGGCAAAGCAGTTGCTCGTTGGCCCAGTTGATGAGAAACTGAGCGAGCGAGTTGCGCCCGTCAAAGCTTTCGAACCCAAAGATATCAACGAGTGAGATGCACGGGTAGTCTGTTGATGGCGCGCCCAATGCGACATTGATGCGCTCCACAATCCACTCGAAGAGCCAAACGTACAAGGAGCGCACAAGGCCGTGACGAGCAGCCTGGAGCTCTGCACCCTCGCGCTGCTTGTTGAACACATCCGAACCGACCTTGACCGTGCGGTTTCTAATGGCTTCGCGGAGGTTGAAGGCGTCGACGCCAAAGGACTTGCCAGCTTCGACGTCGTCGCCCTTCATGAGGCTGTCTATTCCACGCAGCATCTCCCAAATACGCCCCTGGGCCTGGGTGTCGATGCCGACGTCGACTAGCGCCCTACAGACGCTGTTGAATCGTTCAGATGTCCCCGTCGCGTCGTACTGTCGAAGGGCGGTGATGATGTGAAAGGGGTTCTCGTCTGTCACTCGTCCTCGCTCGAGAAGGAAGGTCGAGACCGAGGCACCGACTGCACCTCCATTGGGGCCGAAGTGGATCTGACACATCAGAGATGGCTTATGGGGATGCACTCACGTTGACAACCTTTGCGTATCGACTCGAGTTGTGGTTACGAGCTGTTGGCGCGTTGCCAAATGCTTCGAGCACAGCACCTGCGTTTATCAACTTTTCCGAGAGGCCCTCCTCGGCCTGTCCTCGTGCCGCGAGATAGTCGATGATGTGATTACATGAAATGGTTTTGCCCGAGCCACTGGCGGTCAGCTCGAGTTGTTTGTAGGACATGGCCTTACCTTTCACCTGTAATGACAATAGTCTGATTTGTCTTCGCCCCAGTCAGCAGTGCGCGGTACGCGTTCTCTCCGACAGCATAGACGTGTGGAGGCTGCTTTGGCGGAGAAGTGTTGTGGAAAGAGCGCTGAACCTGGTGGCCGTCTGCTATCAGCGAGGGGAAGGCACGCATATCTCACACAGCCCGGGCACCGTCTCGAAGGGGTTTAGTGCAACCTGCTGTCAGAAAGCCATATCGCTCGCCATCCGGGTCGCCTCACGATGACTGCACCGCAGTGTGTGTAGACCTGATGCGCCTGGTGACACGAGTACAACGCTTCGGTGAGACTTTCTTGCATGTCAGTGGGACGGCGCGTTTGGGATCCAAGCTCACCGCTTGACTGATCCTGCAGTGCGGCGAGGTCGTCCAACACGTTGGCGATGGCTGTCGGTGGCAATGTGGCCATTGTGGGGGAGTGGTGAGGATGGGGATTGACAAGAAACAAGATGTTGAAGGGATTATGTAGAGGAGGGATGGAGTCACGGTGAGCGTGACGAATGCGAGTGTCGTCGCGATGCGAGGCGAGGTGGGGGATGGGTCGGTGCGTCGGTGCGTCGGTGCGTTGGTGCGTTGATGCGTTGGTGCGTCGGGGCGATGGTGACGATGATGGGGGACTGCAAACACGCAAACGGGTTGTGGTTGCCGTGTGCGAGTAGTATCGGCGTGAAGGAAAGAGAGAGAGAGAGAGAGCAAGAGGGAAAGAGTTATCTCGGCTCGGAGTGAGACATGGGCCAGTGTCCGGGGAAGGTGGGCGCCCCGCAGCTAGCGGGGGAGGAGGAGGCCAGCTGCGGGGATGGCAGAGGAGCGGGGAGGGGAGGGGAGGGGTGTGAGGAGGGCGTGAGGGCGTTCGTTGTGTGGTCGTTGTGTGTGGTCGTTGTCGTGTCGCGTATCGGGGGTTTTGGAAAGTGTTGATGAAGATGAGTAGTGATGGGATGGGAGAAGATGGGAAATGTGACGCGTTGTGAGAGAGTCGAGTTTTGATGAACGTGCTCAAACTTGTTCAAGATGCGAGCCAGGGTGTTTGCTTTGTTTCAAGTGCCTGAGGGGAGTATGCGGCAAGTGCGATCGTGAGGAGGAAGAGGATGATGATGCTGATGATGATGATGATGATGATGGAGGAGGATGAGGAGGAGGATGAGTTGAGAGCGCGCTGCTGGACGGGATCAACGATGAGGCGAGAGGCCGACGCGACGACCAAAGGACGCGCCGAGGGCCAAGGGGAGAGAAGCCACGTCGGATGAGACAATTCAAAAGACGCGTCTGTTGGCTACGACATGCGCGCCGTCCTCGTCCTCGTCCTCAGTCTCACTCTCTCTCTCTCTCTGATCACACTCTGCACTCTGCTCGCTACTACTTATACTCACCTCTTCAAGCAATGCATGCAGCATGCCGTCCATGCTGTTCAGCTCGTGTCGCATCTCCCACATGGATTCCAACTGATCATCAGGGGCTTGTATGGCATCTGCGGGATGTCTACAGGAGACGGGCTGGACCGGGAAGCCCTATGTGAACCTTGTTTCAATACACCTTGCCTGTATTAATATTAGTCCCAGATCCAATTGTCCCCACGTTTCGGCCTGCAAACTCCCATTGTGACCCGTTCCAATTGGGTTGTCACAATCACCTGTGACGCGCGTCGAGGAATCGAACCTCGGACCTCTACTAGCCTATACCCGATTAATACTACTTGGAGTAGTGACCAAGTGCCCAGACATGGGGTTCAGGGTGGCCATAGGGTTGACTGTGGGGAAACCCCCTCCCGCTCTCCTGGAACCGAATGAGGAGATCGGCCAGGCCAGATCCTAAACAAAAAGTCAATTCACTACTCAAGCGTCTCACATCATCAACGCTTGTGGAGTGCTGTGAAGAGATGGAGTGGGCCACTCGTATGCATCGATAAGCTTTACTCAAGTGATGCAAGATCGAGGAGCCCGTGTGCCTGGGCATGGATTTAAAAGCCGGCCCGTGTCGTCGTCAACGGCCTTTTTCGCTGAAAAACACGATCAAAGATGATGATGTTGCTGAATTGCTGATGTGATGGCTTCAACGAGCCATGTCGATGCCGGCAGGTGCCTTATGCCCCATCATCTATTGCCCACAATACGATGTCCTCTACCTGCTCTTCCTGCTCTTTCTTTCTGATGCAATCAGCATTCAGCATTCAACAATCACTCTCATCACAGGTTGCAAAAGTCGCACACAGTGACTGGAGCAGGTAGGTAGCCAGCTGTTCCCGCCCAAGCCACCACACGGACCCGCTGGGCCCATGGCCCAACCCTGCTCTCCATCAACTTTGATCATCACATCTTCGTCCTCGTCCCACCTTGATCTCCTTCTGGCCCGCACTGTGCGCCTGCCTGCCTGCCTGCCTGCCTGCTTGCTTGCCATCCGCTAGCTCCCGAGGACTCGGAGTCGAGGCGGAACGCACCCATCCCCATCACATCCCGGCGACGACCGACGCAAGCCTCCCCGACGCGCCCAACCCGCCCAACGCGCCCGACGGCGAAGCCCACCCACTCTTCGGCGGCGCCACAGTGACACCCGACGGTCACGGCGCCTGCTCGTGTCCTTGTCCTCGTGTCCTCGTGTCTTTGCATCCTCGCATCCTCCCCGTCTCGGCAGGCAGGCCACGGGCCCCACCACCCCCCGCCTCGTCCTCACCATCTTGCACCTTGCACTTGTCATCGCATTCGCATTCGCATTCGCATTCGCATTCGCATTCGCATTCGCATTCCCCTCACGCTTCAACTTTGCTCATTACCGCTCGGTCCGTCACTCCCTTCCTCCTCCCTCTTTTTCTCCCCCCCTCTCCAATCTCTCTTTCGCCGGCTCGACGCCATTTTCTCTTTCGGCTTTCCGCCATCTTCAGCATGCCCGAAGCCCGCTCTCCGTCCAAGCGCCTGTCCTCGCTCTTCGCCTTCCTCCGCCCACGCAAGAGCAAGGGTGCGTGGCCTGCCTCCTCGCCGCTGACGACAGACAAGAGCGACTCGGGCAGTTTCCGCTTCTCGGCCCGCAGCCGGACGACGACGCCCGCGCCGCCGTCCGTCGCCGAAAAGCCCCCCTCCCCCCTCTCTCCGTCCGCGACGTCGCTCGTCTCGCCCGCGACCCTCGCGCCCCCAACCCTCGCTAGTCCCGTCTACGACGCGTCCCACACCTCCTCCGCCACCATGTCAAGAATGAGCGGACTGAACGAGGTCGACGTCGCAAAGTTTCCTCTGCCCCCCGACGCCCTGCCCCCCTCCTCCTCCTCCTCTCCCTCCGCGACCTCGGCCACCGCCTCCCCCGCCGTAAAGGAAGAGAGACAGCGCGTCGTCACCCGCTCAGAGTCCACCCCCGTCTTCTCCCTCGACCACCACACGCTTGACCTCACCCTCTCCAACCCCGCCTCGCCCCGCGCCCCCGCCCCCCATCCGCCTTCGCACCCTTCCTCCCCCCGCCCCAGCACCAGCTTGAAGCAGCCCGGGTTCCTGCGCCGCGCCAGCATCGCCGGCCTGCGCCAAACCCCCAAGTCGCGCCCACAGAGCCTCCTCCCCCCTGCGCCTATACCCCAAATCGACCTCAAGTTTGACGTCGGCCGCATGGACGTCGACTTTGCACAGGCCAAACAGAGCCGCTCGACCTCCACCCTGTAGCACGGTCCGCTCGCTATACCCCCCCGTTTATCGTCCGCGTTGGACTTGACATTTGTACATCGGCCCATCTTGCATGTGATTACGTTCGCTAGTGCCTGGAGAGGGGGCCGGGGGGGGCGGGGGGGGGCAACGACGCGGAGGTTGGGGAGAGCGTGGTGGGCGTGGGCGTGGGCGTGGGCGTGGGCGTGACTTCAGGCGCGGACGTCTGTGTGATCGACGACGGGGCAGGAGCGGGGCGTCAGACAGAGCGCCGAGCAAGACTTGGCGTGATGACGACGCAAGACTAGCCCTGGGTATCGCATGGGCCTGGTAGACTTTAAAATGGCGAGGAGACGCACTTCGTCTACCTTGACCACTCCCTCCAGACGCCGTGGCCGTCGAGCACTTCGCAAGACTCAAACAACCCCCGCATACTGGATACACTTGCATCACACACACTCTGGCCGATAAGATAGTTCCCAGTAATCCGATGCTGCACGATACCCAATGTGTTTATTATACGATCCGGTTCTTGCTTCGAGTCATGTGGTGCTTGCAGACCATCGTACAGGTTGAAATGGCACAGTCCGTGCGATTCTGGCACCTCTTTTCCCTCCGCCCCTTGCCCGACACTACCAGCCACCCCTCAGCTGGCCTCTCGGTCCACTTACTCCTCAAACGCAAAGGCGCCCACGCCGCCCATGCCCTCCTCGCGGCCCATCATGCCCTCGCCGCGCACCACCTCCATCTTGCGCGAGTGCCACCCGACATCCGAGCGTACTCGCCCATTCGCCTCAGCGAGCTGGGTGAGGTAGCGCCGCCGCGGGTGGCTGGCCGGCAAGTGGCGGACGAACGAGAGCGAGCCCAAGCCCTCGCCGACCGTGGCAGGAGGCTTCTGGACATATCCCCAGTCCTCAAGCGTGTTGCTTTGGATCCAGCCCGCTGATACGTCGACGTACCAGCCGCGACCGCCCTTGGACTTGACGACCTGCCACTCGGTTCGGCCCGAGCCCTGCGAAGGGTCGAGAGAGCGGCGAATCGCGCTGGACAGCTCGACGACGCGGAGACGCGTCGGACCGGCAGTCAGGTCCGCTTTGGTAACATTGCCAGACATGTTGATGCTGCCCAGCGAGAAGGGCACGGTCGTGAGCGGGTTGATGAGCAGCGCGTGCAGCGACAGCGTGATCTGCAGAGTCGATGCGTCGGGGCGCAGGTCCATAACCGACGAGCCCGTCAGCGTGAGCACCTCAACGCCTGGTGCCGACGAGCGAAGGAACTGCGCAATCTCCTTGAGTGGCAGAGCGGCAACGTGACTAAGACCAAGCGACACAAGACTCGGCTGCGGCGGGAAGACCTCGGGCGAGAGGTGCTCGGCGGAGAACGCCGCGGACGAGAGATCCAGGTAACGCAGCCTTCCCGACTTGATGCACGGAGCCGACGTGAGGAGGCGCTTGAGGTCATACGCGCCAATGGCATTGCCCTGCGTTGGGTTGACGAAGAGGTTAAGGTCGACAATGTCGCGAGCGGCCGGCGACTCAATAAGGAAGTCAACGACGCAGCTGGGGTCGAGGCGCGGACACCGCGCCAGCGAGAGCGACTGCAGGTGCATGCCCGGAGGCGGGTGCTGAGTGAGCGCATGAAGGAGGTTGTCCGTCACGCGTGTGCCCGACAGATCGAGGTGGGTAAGATTGGGCATCGCAAGAATAAGATGCGTGATGAACTGCGAGGGCAGGTTGGTGCATGCCCGCAGCGAGATGCGGCGCAACGCGGTGAAGAGCGGGCGATGCGTCATGCGGTTGTGAAGCTCAGTCTCGTCATCGTCATCACTCGCCTCAGTGACGAACCGACGCGATCGGCTGCGCCCACGCCCTTCCTCGTCATGGGGGCCCAAGTTGAGCCAGCTGTCGCCAAACTCCTCGACTGCCTCGGCAAAGGTGCGGCTCACGCATCCGGTAAGGTCGAGTGCCTCGAGCGGAGTAAACTGCTTGCGCCTCTTCCACATGTCCTCGTCCGTCTCCATCTCGTAAGGCACATAGGTGGGGCGCGGGGGGTCCATCTGGTCGTCGATAGTAGTCTGCGATGGGTCGAGCGAGTGATCGTCCGCGTCCGCGGGGTTCTGCTGCGAGATTGACGTGGTGCGCGACAGGCGCCTGCGGTCTGGCGAGCGCGAGTAGTTGCGCAGGATACGCGGCTTGCTGTATCCACGGAAGAAGATCTCCTCGACGACATCGGCGGAGAGCGACGAGTCAACGTACTCGGTCATGCAGAGCGAGCGAAGGTTTGGGGTGTTCTTGAGGACGCCCTCGAGACGCCCAGCAGTGACAAAGCGCCCACGCACTGCTTCCTCCTGCGAGCGGCGGCTGCCGATCGTGCGGAAGTTGGTGAAGGAGAGGTGGCGAATGTAGGGCCCAGGTGGCGGGAGAAGCTCCGGGTTGGCGTTGACCGGGACGTCTTCCTCCTCCTCTGGGGGAGGGGTTTGCGGAGCCTCCTCCTCCTGAGGAGGCGGGGTGCGCATCGCGGTGCGAAGCGACTCGGAGTGGTCGTTGGGCTCAGACTCGTCCGTTTCCTCGTCCGAGTCGTGCTCGCGGACAATGCGGGAGTGGCTGAGCGAGCTGGTGCGCATAAAAGGGCGGCTCCCGTTGGGGAGCGACAGGCTCATAGAGCGCTGCAGGACCGAGCTGATGCCCTCGGCGTCCCAAAGGCTCAGCTGGCGACGAGGTGAGCGCGAGCGTCCACGGAGGTGAGCGCGAGTCTGGCCAACGGGGGAGGTGGTGCGCGAGCCGGGCGGCGTAAGAAGCATAGAGAGACGGTGGGGCTGGGGAGGGGGGCTCGTCTCCATGTTGTAGCGCATGCCTGGCGACTTGCTCGAGCTGGGCTCGTTGGGCCGGTAATAGTTCTGAGCGACAGTCGTGTTGATCGTGACCGTGCGCCCCACAACGCTACGTCCATGGCCCGTGCCGACGGGAACACTGACAGGGAGGGGCAGCTCGACAGGATGGGTTGTCGAGGTGGGCGAGTGTGTGAGGGCGTCGGCATAGTTGCTCGGCCCTGCTTCGGGCTGCTCTGATGACTCACGGAGGCGCTCGCGGGCGCGCTCGGGCATGGGCGAGTACCCGTCGCTGCCAAAGGTGCTGGCATCGCGGCTCATATTGCCACCATCGATGCTGCTCTCGACGGAGATTACAGCCATCTCGGCGTCTTCCTTGTTCTCCTCGTTGACCTCCTCTGTGAGGGCCTCGACTACGGCGAGCCATCCGCGACCGGAGCGGACATCGACGTTCTCCCAGAGCCACGGGCGAGCGGCGTCAAGCACGTGCGAACAAGTTTTGGTGGTGGCAGAAAGTGCCTGGGGGACCGTTTTGAGTGCGGGTGGGGAGGGATCAAGAGAGGTGATGACATGGGGCTGAGGAGTGGACTGAGGCTCGTCGGGTGGCGGAGGGAGGTAGAAGGGAGGGGCGATCAGAGAGGCGATGAGAGAGAGGACCTCGACAGGGATGTGATCCAGTCTGGGGAGGTACTGCTCTGGCTGGTCATCGTCTTTGTGGTCGGCCTTGGGGGGCACTGTGACAGTGGCCGCCCCGGCCCCGAGGGCCGGGCTATGATGATTGTTAAAGTCAACAGGCTTGTTGGTGGTGTTGTGGTGCGCGACCTGAGCGGTCGTGGTGTGCATGAGAACTTGTATGGGGGTTGATAGAGAGGAAAGTGGGGAGGAGGGTGTGATGGAAGAGAGATGGAGAGATGAGAGAGATGAGGAGAAAAGAGAGATGGAGAGGAGGATTGTGATGGGCGGCGGCGGGAGGGAAGGCGGAGAGGGGTAAGTTTTGCCGCACATTCCTGGGTGGGGGGGGCCTAGAATTCTCTACCACACTACAATTTGTATTACCTTCCAATTACAAAATGTTTGTAATCAACTGGATCACACGTGGGTCACTCCGCATCTCCCGTCGCTTTCATCGGCACATTCGCCGATGCTCACTCTCTTCGGATCTAGCCGAGGACCCGCGTCTATCAACGAACATGCGTCTGATGGACCACGAACGTTTGGCGCAGTCAAGTGCGTCGTCCATTTGACTTTTGAGACACAGACAAAACAAACATTGAGCCCCGTATGAGGTATGCCGAAGCGGAGAGCCGCCGGGCGTCTGTGCAGGACGGCATAGCTCAGCTGACCTTTTTGCTGCTCCCTGGAAATCTGACAGCGGGCAGCTGACGGCTGACAATGTGGCGAGCGAGGCGCGTTTGGCTGTTTGGCATCCGTGGCATCCACTAAACCAAATCAATGACGAAGAGGACCGTGTCGGCGTCGAGGTGGTCGAGTTGTGCGGTCATGCAATGGTGGCCGCAGGGGGAGTAAATCCGTACATCCTCTCAGCTCAGCGCTCAGACAATCAGTATTGAAACAGCCCAGAGATCCGGAGACTCCGCATGATCTATGATGTAGAAATATTCTTATCGCCATATCTCAACGACCGTCATCCATGCCAAGCCATCGGGCACTCGCTTCTTATTAGCCTGCACTTGACTACATGCCAAGGCGATGGATGATATGATGAGCTGCGGCGCTGCGGTGGCACAAGGGGGGGGGGAGGGCAACCTTCTCATGACGTTGAGGCGTCCAGCACGCGCTAGTGCCAGTTTTCACTGCTCCATGCTCCATGCTCCATGCTCCATGCTCCACTGCTCCACCTCCCCTCTCATCGCCCTAGTCGCACTAACTGCACTCTGTCGATGCATCTATGTTCACTGCTGATAGCTGCTACTGCACATGTCTCCCCGCCCATGAATGCTTCGGCCGTGGTTGCAGCACGGCCTCTGAGCTGCACAACTCCCTCCCCGCCTACCAGTACGCCTACCAGTACATGCGGTGGGTCGGACACTCGTAGCCGCCGGGGTTGTTGTCCACTATGATCAGCGTTAAACTCCCCAACACCACTCACAGTACTTCTGGTGATACTCCTCGGCAGTCCACCACTTGGCCGCAGGCGAGATCTCCGTAACAATCTTCCTGTCCTTGAGGCTAGGGTTAGTGTCGTTCGGCATTCACCGCGGCATGCAACACTTGCTGCACAGACTCACTACTTGTCCTGCACCTCAGCCGTCACCGCCTTGGCCGTCGCCAGCTGCTCGGGCGTGTGGTAGAAGATGGCCGAGCGGTACTCTGTCTGTCAGTGCACTGCACTCTTATGTGCCTCGTCGCTGGCAGCCGCTACTCACGCGTGCCCCTGTCCGGGCCCTGCGAGTTGAGAGTCGTCGGGTCGTGCGTCCGGTAGAAGAACTCGACGAGCTCGCCGTACCCCACAGCCCCCTTCTGGTAGTGGAGCCGCACGGCCTCGGCGTGCTGCGTGTTCCCGCTGCACACCTGCTGGTACGATGGGTCCTTGGCGTCGTCGCGGCCACCCGTGTACCCGACCTCGATCTTCCACTGCGGCAAGTGGCTGTAGTACTTGTTGAAGAGGTGCTCCGTGCCCCAGAAGCAGCCCGAGGCGAACGTCGCCACCTCGGTGCCGTCGCCAAGCTTGGCTTCCTCACGGCTCTTGATGGCCGTGGGCACGGTGGGAGGAGGCGGTGTCTGGGGACCCTTGGGCATGATGTGGCGAGAAAGAGTGAAGAGAGAGCGCTTGATGCTAGCTAGAGACATGAAGATGTTGAAAGAGAGAGAGAGAGAGAGAGGGTGGGCAGTTGATCAGATCAAGCAACACTAAGCACTCGCGTGTGCGATGGCGACATCGCAGCTGCCATTAACAGCGTGTTCGCCGAAATGCGGGGTCTCCATCATGATGACATGGTCGCGTGGCTCTCGTGCGATTTTGATTCCGCCCTCCGTGGCGGGAGCATTCGCCCTCACTGCCTCCGAAGATCGAAAAACGCCTCCAAAAGTCGAGAGAGTGCATCTCATCCCCCGAGACAGCGAGCACGACGACGACGACGGCCGCCGCAATCATCACTCATCTCCTCCGCCGTCGACAGATCCCGGCCCAACGAATCTCTGCATGATGCGCGGCGCCGTCCTCTCGCGCACCGTCTCGGCCGTCTGGCAGCGCCGCCTCGCCAAGACGCCGTTGCGCCGGGCTGCTGTCCCCGTCCGCGCGCTGTCCAGCACCCCCGCCCTGCTCAAGCAGCGCCGTCTCCCTCCCGCCGAGGAGCCCTATCCCGCGACTGCGCTCGCTGCCCTCCTCTCCCGCCTCTCCCTCCCCCCTTCCGACAAACTGCAGGCGTCCCTCCTCACATGCCTCACGCACCCTTCCTTCGTCAACGAGGAGTCCGCGGACATCGAGACGAACGAGCTTCTCTCCAACCTCGGCAACTCGCTCCTTGGCCTCTTCGCCAGCGAGGAGATCGCCGCCCGCTACCCCAACCTCCCTTCCACCGCCCTCTCGAGCGCCGTCACCTCCTACGTCGGCCCTTCGTCGCTTGTTAGCGTCGCCCGCGAGCTTGGTGTTAGCGCAACCCACGACGGCGCACCCAAGTACCACAACCAGGTGCAGGGCCTGCCTATCCGGTGGCGTCGTGCGCTTGCCGTGCGCGAGCTTGCCGACACACCCGTGTCCATCAATTTCCGCGAGTCGTACAACGACCGCGCGGCTCGTCTGGACAAGGAGCGGGAGAGGAAGCGCAACTCGTGGGAGGAGGGTGTTGCCAGTGTTGTGCGCGCGTTCGTTGGTTTGATCTACCAAGAACAGGTGGGTGATCTTGGCCGCGACTGGGAGGGGAAGACGTTTGCTGACGGCGCAGGGAATGCACGCTGCCCGTGACTTTGTTCACGCACACTTCATGAGCCGCCATGTGGATCTGACGCACCTCTTCAAGATCCGCAAGCCAAAGCACGTGCTGTCGAACGTCGTCTCGAAGCACTTGCACGACGCAGGTGTCCCAGCATCGTCGTCTCTCGGCCGGATCGAGTCTCGGTAAGTCCTCTTCGCACACCGCCACTCCGCCCCTTCCCGCCCACTGACTCCAGCGTCCTCGCAACGACCGGTATGCACTCGCAGTCGCCACTGTTTAACATTGGGCTGTTCCTGCAGAACGGGCTCAAGCTCGCCGAGGGCCACGGGTCGTCATTGGCCATGGCTGAGCATCGCGCGGCGACCAACGCGCTCCTCTCCCTCTTCCTCGTGCAAGCCGAGGAGGGGAGCACGCGCCTGCCAACGAGTGCGCACGCCGACCGGCCAATCAGCAGCGCAGGGGTGGCGCCGGACCAGGGCGACAAGTGGGAGGGCAGCTACGTGAGCTCGGGGGCGAGCGAGCCGGTCCAGGGCTTGGGGCAGAGCATCAGGCCACAAAGGTTTTAGACAGTATACCAGTAGTATACCTACCACTCAGATATGCATCATCATCCATCACGCGAGTACGTGTGTCTGTGGCAGCTCGCGCGAGCTCGGTGATGGCTGGGGCACGCGAGTGGTCGCGACGGCGGGGCGGAAAGTCAACTTTGAGTGATTGTGATGGCGGGGCGCCGTGCCTAGGCGAGAAAATCCACGCACATTCCCACGTGACCCCAGAAAGTTGGATGATCTGGTGCAGGTCTGCTCGCTGTCACAACAACATCCATCCACCACACTCCATCGAAAGCAAGTATGGGCAAGCAGCCGTTCAAGCAGTCCAAGGGCAAGCGCTCGGCGCCGTACGCCAAGTCGGCTAAGCCGCAGCGGCCGAAGGGGCCGTCCAAGCCGACCGTCGATGTGCAGTACGACGGCGAGGTGTCCGCCGCGACGAAGCAGGTGCTGGAGAAGAAGGCCAAGGTCGTGTCTGCGCCGGCGGTGAAGACCAAGACCAAGGCCAAGGCCAAGGCTGAGCCCGAGAAGCCCAAGCCCAAGCCCAAGGGCAAGGGCAAGGCGAAGGCGCCCTCGCCCTCGCCCTCGCCGACGTCCGAGCCCGATGCGCCGACGTTCAAGATTATCGCTGGAACATATGAGAAGCTCCTCTACGGCCTCGAGGGCAAGTACGTCGACGGCGCAATCGCTCTCGAGCCTCTCTTCATCTTCCCCGCGCACCTTGCGTGCGTCAAGGCCGTCGCGGCCAACCAGACGGGCAAGTGGCTCGCGACAGGCAGCGAAGACGAGTTCATCAAGGTGTGGGACCTGCGGAGGCGGAAGGAGGTCGGCTCGCTGTCGCAGCACACTGGTGCGTCCACGCTTCAGTACCTACTGACGCTAGGCTCGATCACGTCGCTTACCTTCCCCTCGCCGAGCCACCTCATGGCAACGTCGGCGGACGCGACCATCTCCCTCTTCCGCACGTCGGACTGGGCCGTGCTCAAGACACTCAAGGGACACTCCGGGCGCGTTAACCATGTCGACGTCCACCCTACTGGCAAGGTCGCGCTGTCCGTGGGCAAGGACAACACGCTCAAGATGTGGGACCTTATGCGCGGGCGTGGCGCCGCGTCGCTCGCGCTCGGGAGCGAGGCCGAGCTCGTCAAGTTCTCGCCGCGCGGAACACACTTCGCCGTCCTCTTCCCCCGCAAAATCGAGATTTACAGTTTGACGCTCAAGAAGCTCGCGACGCTCGAGAGCAAGGTCCGCTTCAACCACTTGTTGTTCACCGAGCTCCCGGGGCAGGACGCCGAGCTGCTCTGCGTCGGGACGGAGAAGGGCGTCGTGGAGGTGTACACCGTCGAGATGCCCGATAGCGACGAGATGTCCGAGGAGAATGAGGATGAGGATGAAGATGAAGATGAGGAGAAGGCGGAGCATGGTCCTAAAGCCGAGGTGGACCGCATCGCCACGCTCGTCGGACACACCAACCGGTAAGACATTACGCAGGCGTAAGCTGACAACAGCATCAAGGCCGTCTCGGCGCTCGAATTTGCTGCTCCCAGCGGTCCAACGGTGCTCATCACCACGGCCAGCTCGGACGGCTTCATCAACGTGTACGACCTCGGCGCGATCCCGACGGCCGAGAGCGAGGAGCAAAAGCCCGTGGCGAGCTACGACACCAAGGGGTCGCGGCTGACGTGTGTCGAGATCGCGGAGGGCGGCGCGCGGCGCAAGAGCAAGAAGGTGGTGAAGACGGCTAAGGCTGAGAAGAGCGGGGCTCGCTTTGACTTGGAGGAGAGTGAGGTGAGCGACGAGGACGACGAGGACGCGGACATGTTCGAGGGCGCGTCGGACGAGGAGTTGGAGGGTGTTGATGTCGAGTTTGAAGATGAGGAGGAGGAGGAAGAGGAGGAGGAGGAGGAGGAAGAAGAGGAGGAGGAGGAGGGCGAGTATGAAGACTAGACGATCGTAACATTACTGCATGCACTACATCATTGACCGGCGACAAGGCGTGGGCGAACTGGTTGCGCTCGCTGCGCTCCGCTCGATGCGCACGACCTCTTCCGCACGTCCAACATCCGCAACTCCAAGTCGCCATGTGGCGATGGCACGGCTACAACTCGTCACAATCAAGCTGCTCCTGCAACGCGTCCGTGCCGGCACTTCAAGCGGCACTCTCTCACTGCTGACTAACACATCGGTGACCCCTCCGAGTCCCTCCTCGTCATAGTCAGAGGCCGTCGCACAATTCCGGTATTCCTGCGCGCTCGTGCGCAGTCGATTACCAGCACGCGCAGAGGCTCTCAAGCGCTGCTCCCCGGTCTCCTCAGATCTCCCAACCTCGGAGAAGCAATCCACTCATCCGACATGCCTGACAAAGCACATGTACACGCCAGTACAGTACATCATCATCGCGAGCTCGCTAGGTGCTCGGTACGTCTGGATCTCGACTCGCGGATCTCGACTCGCGAAAGCCACAAACCCAATGTGCCACGACCCCACTGCCAAGCCCGGTTTCCGGTATTCCGCGCTCACCCTGCCACTGCCACCGCCCACGGGTCCCCATCGCCCACCAGCATCAGTCATCCGGGTAATGTCGATGCGGACGATCATCCGTTCCGAGTCACGTCAGAGTCAGATATAAGGCGGCGGCGCCGTGGCCTCCAGTCCCCGTCTCTGACTCTTGCCTCCCTCCCTCCCTACTCACCATGGCCGCCTCCTTCCGCCAGCTCGCGGGCATCCCGCCCTCCACCGCCAGCGTGTCCGACTCGGTGCTCCTCATCGTCGACGCGCAAGGCGAGTACGCCGACGGCCATCTCAAGATCACGAACATTGCGTCCTCCCGCCCCGCGCTGCACACGCTGTGCGAGCGCTACCGCGCCGCCGGCGGACACGTCGTGCACGTCGTGCACGAGGTGCGTTGGGGCGTTTGGGCGCGCCGCGCGCTGACGCCAGGTCACGCCGGGCACACCCGTGTTCACGCCCGGCACGCCGCTCGCGGCCGAGTTCCCCGAGCTGCAGCCCACGGCGGGCGCGAACGAGCCGGTCGTGCGCAAGAAATTCCCCGGCTCGTTCTGCCAGACCGACCTCGACGAGGTGTTGGGCAAGACGGGGCTCAACAAGGTCGTGATTGTCGGATACATGGCGCATGTGTGTGTGTCGACGACCGCGCGCGAGGCGAGCCAGCACGGATACGACGTGTTGATTGCCAAAGACGCGATTGGGGACCGCGACATCCCCGGCGCGAGCGGGGAGGAGGTCACCAACATGGTGTGCCATGAGCTCGGGGACGCGTTTGGTACCATCATCAACTCGACCGACGTTCAGTAGTTTACAGAATTATGAAGACATGGCAGCAGCGCACTACGCATCTTCTTACGCTATAACTTGCTCGCCAGATCGACAGTCCTGCATCTCAACACCCCGCTAAACTAGCTTAGAAGACCTTCTCCTGCATCTCGATGCCCTCCTCAGCCTCGAGGCGGTCACGGAAGAGCTTGGCGGTGGGCTCGTCGTACGGCGCGTGCACACCGGGCGTCTTGAGCGCGCCCTCGAGCACGAGCTGGACAGCAAGCCCGCAGGGAACGCCGACGAGCTTGGCCATGGCCGAGGGCCCGCCGTGGCGGTCGCCGTACGCCTCGAGCGACGCGACAACAGTCTCCTCGCGGCCGTCCTTGCGGATGACCTCAAAGGTGTGCTGGAGAAGGACGAGGTCGACCTCGCCCTCCTGGAACTGGCACTTGGTCTCGAGGAGCGCCGAGAGGGTGCGCATGAGCGTGCCCTTGGGGTTGACGGGCTCGTTGGCGTCGAGCATGCCGAGCGAAGTGTACTTCTGGAGAATGATCTTGCCCTGGTCCTTGGGCACCGAGGGGAGCGCCTGGATCTTGGCGGCAACCTCGGCCTGGTCGGCCTTGACACCCAGGAGCTTGGCGGTAAGCTCGAGCCACGAAAGCTTGGCGGCGCCAGCGGCGAGGTAGTCCTTCTGCTCGTCGTCGAGAAGGCCAAGGTCGTCCCAGCCCATGACGACCTCGCAGAAGCCGCCGTAGCGCATAGTGCCACGGATCAGATTCTCGCACTCGGGGATGCCGTAGAACTCGCGGAACACGGTCGAGTCACGGTTGGGGTAAGCGACGAGGTTGTACGCGGGGGTGAAGTAGTAGGGCTTGGCGAACTGCATGAGCTCCTTGCCGCCGCCGACCTGGGCGGGCTTGCCGTCCTTGAGGAAGCGACCAGTGTTCTTGAGGGCCATGAGCACACCGACGGGCGACCACGAGAACTTGTAGCCGAGGGCGTTGTCCGACGCCGCGGGCTCGGTCAGGCCACCGCAGTACGAGTAGAACGACTTGATCTTGCCGCCCTCGCGGTGGATCTGGTCGATGATCTTGACAGCGTAGAGGTGGTCAACTCCGGGGTCAAGACCGATCTCGTTGAAGCAGATGAGGCCGGCGTCCTTGAACTGCTGGTCGAGCTCGCGCATCTGGGGGTTGATGTACGAGGTGGTGACGACGTGGGCCTTCTCGGCGAGCGCCGCCTCCATGACGGCGCGGTGGAGGGTGTAGGGGACAAGGGAGACGACAACATCGTGGCCTTTGACGGCGTTGCGGAGCGCCTCAGCGGACGAGACGTCGACCGAGACCGCCTTGGCGTTGTCAAGGCCCTGGGCGAGACCCTCAGCGGTGGCAAGGGTACGGCAGGCGATGGTAAGCTCGTGGCCGTGCTCGGTGATGTACTTGGCGGCGGGGGCGGCGACAAGACCCGAGCCGAGAAGGAGAACCTTCTTGCCCGAGGCGTTGCCCGAAGCGGCACCGGGGCGGACACCGCCGAAGACGGGGAGGATGTTCTTGTTGTCCTGGATCATGGCGCGGCCGAACTCGGGGAGGACGAACGCAGCCTTGTGGACCTCCGAGTTGTAGTACTTGCAGTCGGGGACCTCACGGAGGGGCTTGTTCATCTCGCGGGTAGGCTCCTTCGAGCAGACAAGGAAGCCCATCGAGCCCGAGGGGTAGGTGGGGATGGTCGAGGTAGCGTACTCGGCGACGGCGAAGATCTTCTTGGTCGTCTCACGGAGCTCCTGGATGAGAGGGAGATGGAGCCAGATGCTCTCGCCCTGGGTCGACATGTGGCCGCCGTCCTTGAGCGCGTCGTGGAGGAGAGAGAAGTAGGGAGCCTCGAAGAGGGCGGCGGCGGGTCCGACAGGGTCCGACGAGTCGGTGATGACGACGTCGTATTCGTTCTTGTGCTGGGGAAGGAACTTGAAGCCGTCGCCGATGAAGACCTCGACGCGGGGGTCGTCGTAGCACTTGGAGAGGGTGGGGAGGAACTGCTTCGAGACGCGGATGACGGCCTCGTCAATGTCGCAGAGCGTCACCTTCTTGACGCTCTTGTGCTTGAGCGCCTCGCGGATGACACCACCGTCACCGCCGCCGATGACGAGAACGTGCTCGGGGTTGGGGTGCGAGCACATGGGCAGGTGCGTGATCATCTCCTGGTACCTGTGGTGAGCGGAGTTGGCGAGGTCCGACGCACGAGAACTCATCGCGCTCGGTGACCTGGATGGCGCCGTCGAGGACGAGGACGTTGCCGTAGGTCTCGGACTCGAAGACGAGGACGTCCTGGGGTTAGCCGGGGCTCGAGGGGCTTTCCGCTCTTTGCCGAGGGCAAACATGCAAACTCACCTGGAAGAGCGACTTCTCGTGGTGGAGGATCTGCTTGACCCTGCTGTTAGCGACTGCACCTGGGGGACTGGCGAGCTCTGCGCGGCGATGGCGCGGCGTTGAGCGCCGCGCACTCGGCGACAGTCCCATGCCCGCAACTCACTTGAGGGTCATAGCCTGACCTGCCAGTCAGCGTCTTGTTGCCCACCACTGCCTGTCAATAAACTCACCAGGCCACTGGGGCGAGATCTCGCGGAACCAGCCGTCTGGATATTAGCGCTCGGCGTCCGCGGCGTGTGGGATACGCACCAACGATGGAGGGGTGGGTCTTCGGCGCCATTTTGAGTGTTGTGGAAAAGAGAGAAGTGAGAAGACGCATGACTTAAATCTTTGGCCCTGACAATTGCGCATTCCAAAAAGGCTCCTCTGGCCTCCAGTCTGGCTCTCTCCGACTCTCACACATCCCTCGCTTCTCGCTCGGCCTCCCCCGACGCCTACGCTCGCCCGAGCATATCCGCTATCAGCTATGCATGCCCTGTCGCAGGCGAGACGAGTCGATGCATTGGCTGTCGAAGGGAGGAGGGGGGCCGTGATTGGACGGCGGGAGCAGATTGCGGATTGACAGCTCCGTTCAGCCTAAATTAGCGTCCACTCCGAAGCCGACGCCGAGCGACGAGCGGAGCTCGGTGCGCAGCACTCGCACAGGGGGTAGCGGACTTGCGGCTTGCCCTGCATCGTCACGCCGTTCTGCATGTCCTGGGAGCGTTGGACGGCGTCGGCGTGAGAGTAGGTGGGGATGCTGAGGCCGACGAGTATCCTCGGAAAAGGATTCCGGGCAGGCTTCCCAGCCTCACGGCTTCACGAGTCGGTGGGTGAGGATGCCGAGCGCCGAGGTCCGACTCACCACAAGTGCGTGACTGTTAGTGCGGAACAGGAGTGGCGGACTCACTTTCCCGTAAACATGTTGAAGGATGAAGGACTCCAGCCGCTTTAGCTGAATCGCCTGACTGACGAAGAACACGATCGGAGCTACATTGTCAGACATGATTCTCGCCAAGATCTAGCGCTCGTCCGAACCGCCATTCATCGTGTAACGTATCGTTCTCAGACACACGCAGACTTGCTTCGGAACACCACTACATGCTAGTGATATCTAACGATACTATATCTGGTTCGTCGACTAATAACCTTCCACATCTTACTGGTCCTCCTCGCGCTTCTTGGCGAGCAAAACGCAGACCTGGCCGCCAGCGCTGGCGGTGACCGCGTCGTACGGACGCAGCTGCGCAGAGCGACAGAGGGTGGGGGTCTCCGCGTCGTCCGTGTTGGCACCCAGCCCGAGCTCGCACTGAAGGCCCAGACCCCAGGTGTATACCCAGCCGGAGCGCGAGACGGCCACGTTGTAGCGCGGACCGCATGAGATGGACACGATGGGGTTGATGACCTCCTCAGTGTACTCCTCCAGTTCGGGCACGTCGCCGTACTGCTTGGGGCTCTTGGGGAAGCAAATCTTGGGTCAGACAAAGGGCGAGGATGTTCACAGGACTTACACGAATGGGCTCCGGGATGTACTCGTTGGACTTGACGCGTAGAGACGCCTCAGCCTTCAAAAGCTCGAGCTGGATCTCCTCCTTCTGCTCATCGGTGGCCGACGAGTCGTTCCTGACCTTTTCGTCCTTCTCCTTCAGCTCGTCGAGAAGAGCTTGCTTCTCGGCACGGATCGCCTCCTTGCGCTCGCGAAGCCCCTCCTGGGCCGGGTGGTCGTCGCAAACGCCAATCTCGTGCGCATCTTGCCGACCGCAGCCCCAAACGGACCCGTCGTCGAAAAGGAAGAGCGTATGGTGCTCACCACCCGAAATCTGGACGACCCGTGCCCCGTTGTGCGCATCGGGAGAGAGGCTCTCGATCTCGGTGGGGCTCATGATCATCTCCTCCTTGGCCTGGTAGCCACTAAGCCCACACTGCTTGAAAGTGTTGAGTCCCCAAGCGTAGACCTTGCCGGCCACGTCGACTGCGAAAGAGGTGTAACTGCCTGCCCCGACAAGCACAATGTTGCGCAGACCGAGGCGCTCGGGCTCAAGGGCGTTGAGCGGCCGACGAGCCAGCACACGGCGGCCAAGCTGGCCCTGCTGCGAGTTGCCCCAGACATAGACAAACCCGTCGGTGGTGAGAGCAAGAACATGGTCGGACCCGCAGACGACGTCGGCAATCTCGACGCGAGCGAGGCCTGGCAGCTCCATGGGCTTGAATTGCTTCTTGTCGTGACCCGGAACGCCATCAAAGCCCAGTGGACCCTCGTTGCTCTGCTGTCAGCAATTGTTTGCATACTATCAGGTGACTCACGCGGAACGAACCCCAAGCGCGCAGGTCGCCCAAGTCACTGAGGGCGATGGAGACACCGTCACCAGCAGCGACCTTTACAGCCCGGAAGCCGTCGGCCTTGAGCGCCTCGACGACAAGAGGCTGCGTCTCAAGCTCCTCGAAGGGGATCACAGCCGAGGAATCAGATGGGTCGGGGATATTAACAGTCTTGCGACCGAGCTGGGCGCCATCATTGATGCCCCAGGAGCGTACCTGACCCAACTCGTCAATGCCGAGGTTGTGCATGCCGCCAGAGGCGATGGCCTCGAGGCCACCATGGTTGGATTCGTTGCCCATCTCACCCTGCGCCCGCTTCTCCTCAAACCTGTATGTCAGTGGCGCCGCAAAGTTGTGAGTCACGCACCAAGTGTTTAGCTGAGGGCGGGGCTTCTCTCCGAGGTCATCGGGACCAGTGCCAAACTGGCCGTTGTCGCCAGTGCCCCAGACGAAAGCGCTGAGACCCGTTCCCTCGGGCTTGGCGATGGGGTTGATAATAGTGCCGGTGCGGCGCTTCTTGACGACCTCCTTCTTAGGCTGCTCGGAGGCCCCCCTCTTGGTGCCGTTGACCTTGGGAGCAGGGGCGGGCTTGTCCTCAACCTTGGGAGAAGCCTTAGGCTTTGCCTTGGTTGCGGCCTTGGGTTCGGCCTTGGGTTCGGCCTTGGATGCAGGCTTCGCGGCCTTTGGTGCAGGCTTGGATGCAGGCTTGGCCTTGGACGCAGGCTTAGTGGTGGCCTTGGTCTCCTCGTCGTCCTTGTCCTTGGCCGAAGACTTGGGCTTTGAAGCAGGCTTGGAAGAGGGCTTGGGCGTTGTCTTCTTGGTGGCGGGCTTTGCCGCCGTCGCCGATGTCGGCTTTGACGCGTTGCGGGCCGACGCTGGAGGTCAGTGACATGGACTGTGAGGGACAGGCTTACAGCGTGGTGGCATTGCTTGAGATGCTAACGAGTGTGTGGATGGGATATGACTGCAAGACGAGTTAGTTGTGCGAGGGAGATGGGAGATGGGATATGGGTAGGCGCACATTTGCAGACTTACGTTTGGGCAAAGACCTGGTTGCGCTTTGGCCGGTGTCGACAGTGAGAGAGAGAAATGAAGCAGGGATGGTAAGTTTGAGGGGGAGAGTGGGGGTCTAGCCTTGACAAGAGCAAATGTTGCTGTTGAAAAGGACTTTGCAGGAGGAAGAGAAGTAGAGCGAGAGAGTTGAAGTGAGAGGAGTCGCGGTGTGTCCAGTTCGTTGAATTGCCTGCAATTGCCTGCCTTGCCAAACACGCACTCTGGTAGCAAAACAGCGAAATGACCTCATAACCTTGTTTCATCCCCCCTCATTAGCACAAGCGGGCCTTAATGTCTTGCGCAAAAGAAGTCAACCACATGCGGGTCCCGCGTGCAATTACGTTATCAACGGAGAGAAGAAGTGAACGAAAATGCCTCCGCTTTGTTGACCGTTGACTCGGGTGTGCATTTCGGAAGGATGTTTAGAAGCTTGTGAAAGTTCCAGGAACGTGGTCTTTTACCCTGCATCCCTTCTATAGCCCGGCCCTTGGTGAGGCTTACGCCCACTTCAACCCTAGACGCGTGGCATTCCAGATCTGGCATTTTATGTTTGCGACAGCTGGAGGGGCGCAGGGAAATCTCAGGCACATGACGAGGCACCAGGGTGAAGATGGTTCTCTAGGGCCTGTGTTTGGTCGATGGATGATGAGCGAGATGAGTCGCGCACGCGGCAACTGACCGAAAGGGGCGAGGCGGAGGCGCCAGGGGTAAGAGGAGTGCACGGATCGTTGGACCAAACATGGTGACCGTCCATCGAGCGGCGTGCCCCAGTGTGTTCTGCAGTGTCATACCAAAGTCGAGTCATCCTCCTTCGTGCCCCTCTGGCCCTCTGGCCCTCTGGCCCTCTCCGCCCGCCCACGCGTCCCGACACGGCCACGGCCGACACGACTTGAATCAATTCAATACTCTTTCACAAGCTTTCCTTTCCCCCTGCTCTGTCTCATTCCTCTCTCTCTCTCTCTTTCTCTCTTTCTTTCAATATCTCTTCAATTCTCTCACGCTACATATAATACATCCAATACACGCAGTATTCACGATTCACTACTACAGTACAATCACAAACGATCAACAACCTCGCGTCCTCATCGCTCCATCGCTCCTCACCATCCGAAAAAACAGACACAAACACACGCATCATAAACACGCCCAACGCACGCCCCTTCGCCACCATCCATCTCACTCACACCCATCGCCCATCAATTCTCTCCACTCGGCGCACACTCATCACACACCCCACACATCTTGGTGCGACAACTTTGCCATCCTGATCATCTTTCACCGTTTCAACACCACCCTCCATACTATACTCCCTCCCTCTTGCCCCCCCCCCCCCCC